CACACATCCGCGAATGTGAGTGAGCCAGCTAGTCTGGCTTCCTGACCTGACAATTTCATAATGTCTATTTAATTGATCTGTTTCACCTGAAGTAGGGTCAGGGAACCAGACTGCAAGAACAGCATTTTTTTCTTGGCTTTTCCTACATCTACAATGTACATATGAACAAAAATTTTAACAGGTCATATTGTAACAATATTTGCTATAAAAATACTAACCCCCAAATCCATCCATTGCTCAAAATTACAGCAAAAGCATATCATCGTGTCAGTGCAACAAGCTCGTATGACTCCATTCTGCAACAAAGTCGTATCTCGCGCGTATACGCTCCATGCAACAACGTCGTATCTCGACGTCCACTGACTTTGCGTGTACATCCGGGTTATTGCAAGCCACATACGACCTTTTGACATTCTGAAACTCGCGTTTCGCGTTAATGCCATTTTAAGAGGTACGACCTTGTTGCACTGACGCGACGATATGTTGTACATATCAGCTAAAGAGAACAAGACATACCAAAGTTCCACAAGTTTCAGACAGTTACCACAGTCCCCCTTTTCCCATTCAAAACTAAACCCCCTTTGCCCCCATGGATCAAGTGAACAGTAATGTGAGTTGATGCCAACAGCAGATCCCAGCATTCTGACTGAAGGGAGACGAAAAAAATTGCAAAATAACGACTTCCTCTTGTTGACAACTTCTCCCCAGAGAGTCCCATCGTGATTTGCAATTAATTACAACTGGGACATGGTGAATTGAGAAATCGCGCACACCGCAAAAAAAAAGTGGTGTAATAGGAGACGTCACAAGGAAGTTCACAACGCCAACATGCAAACTTCCTGCATAGCTACATGTACACGCACATCAACTGGTGGTGACAATGAACATGGCACAGTCAATCTGTCACTTTTTTTTAATGATCCGGTTTCCTTTGCCTGCAGTCTAAAGAAACTGAATTGCAATTTGAAATTTTCCCCGACAGCCTCAGGGCTGGGTCTGTCCAACAGGTGTCAAAGTCTGATTGGGCAAATTACACGGAAAGAAATTCAAACATTTGACATTGTTCTTATCTCTCACTGCAACTCCTACGCTACTACTACTCCCCCCCCCCCCCCTGGAAAAAGAAAGACCTGACAAGATGAACAGTTACAGAAAATCGGTATTTTCTTTATCTACTGAAACCATTCCCCTCTTTCAATGAAGCATATAATTGGTACGTACATAGGAAATAATGACTCTTGAAGTCCACAAAACAAGGGATGTAACATGCATCAAGAATGCGACTTGTTCAGGAATAGTAATAAGGAAATCCCATGACAGTGACGTAATGCGTACAATCCGGATGCACCGTGTTTTGATAGCTCAGCTGGGGAAACTACGAAAGCAATTCTCCCCCACGCCTACAACTTAATAACCACCAAATTTTCAAAACAACCCACACGCCAGGTTTTGTGCACTTTTGTGCTCAAACTGAGTTGCGATCCCTTTTTGTATGCCAGGACAGGACGACTTATTTTGCAAGACATCGTGATGGAGGTGGGACCCTCAATGTTTTCAAAAACTTAGGCTGATGCTGTCTGGGAACGATCAGATAATCGGATCTCAAGAGTCAGAGATGTTCTTGCAGAGACAGATGTTTCAAAACCAGCCAAGAAAAACATTTTGGGAAAAAAAAAAGTTCAAAATATAGATGTACAGTACTGATAACCTGTATGGATATCAAGTTACATTTCTGTGGCAAATATGCTGGGAAAGTGAATATTAGATTGTACCAAATTCAGAAAACAATGTGATAGCAGTTTGTGAAGATCAAAGAGTCAAACATTAAAAAAAAAAGAATTCACTACTTAGTAAGTCAGCGCCAAAAAATGCTAACCTCGCAATGGATTCAATGAACACAATGGGATGTAAATAGTCCCAATGATAGATAAACAGCGTCAGGTTCAACAGACGCCGTATTCAACCAATGTAAACGTCTCCGGTTTGACCACAAACAAGCAGTTTCATTTTGAAAGTAAACTTGCAATCACCAAAAGGTCATTAGAAGAAAAATTAGCCATACAGGATGTGTGCTTAAGATCAGCAATGAATGGATGTGGCTGGTTCTGCTTTCACGGCAAAATGTGCTTCACGGATGACACATGCATCACAAAATTACTGTTTCATTTTCACGCCAACTCAAAAATAACATTCATACTGACACTTCACCTGCACTTAATCTCATTGAAAACAAAGTAAAGATTTATCACAAACAATCAACAGGAAGTATGCGCTGGCGTTTCCTACTGTGAAACTATGGAACACGAGTCCAGCAAACTGAAAGATCGTTCACTGTAGACAAGCGATGAAGGCAACAGAGCGCCATGCATTCCCTTTAACCTCGTAGCCTTATGCAGTTTCTGGGTCACTTAACTCGCTTCAATAAAAATGGAATGTTTCAATGGCATCACAATGGGACTTGGACGTCAACTTAAAGGACACTTCTGCTCTGAAGGCTTTTAAATTACCATGCTACATGGAATTAACACAAGAAAATGACAACAAGAATGTACTACAATGTACATGTACGTATCAAAATTGTTTTAGGATTTGTCCTGCATAATTCTACCAACTAAAAAGTAAAGTTTGAGCTAAAGGCCTAAATAATATGGTGCCTGGCACTGCCTGCGGCATGGAAAACCTGGAAACCCTGGTAACAACATCTACATCAGTCGTGGAACAAGACATTATTGGTGTCCACAGATGGGCAACTGCCTAAACACATGTAACTACTGAATTTTCTTCCATATTTTTTGTATATTCAAGTCTGTCCAGAGTCTAGACTAGAAATAGTAGCCAATGATGATAGCACTAAAATCAGCTTCAGGTTTAAAATGATTCATTTTCTCTTCAAATTCACACAGTTTTTTACAAGGTCGAAGTGAACCAAATTGTTTCAAAACCTTCTTAAAGTATCCCCACAGATTCTCCTTTAAAAATTTGGTCAAATCAAATTTGCTCTCAGTGTGAGTCCAGTGACCTGGCATCTGTGTCCTTAAAAAAAATTGGGGGTCACCGCAAAAAGAGAATGTTCTTACTGGAACAACTGCTGGGCTTTCCTGACCTCAGCTGACAACGTGACCACTGCAATTTGCTGCCTTGTCAGCATTCAGTGTGGGCCACCGGCCTTATTATTATTACTACAAGTACAACAGGTAGGCATTATGCATGTTTAGTCCAGGAACAAAAACAAGGATGTTTTCCTAGGATATGCTATAATCGTCCATAAACAGAGTGGTCCGGGAGTGGTCGCAATCACAGCAGTACAAAACCATAGTGCAAAAAAACAGGAAAACTACCAAAAAAGAAATTCACCGAAAAATCTTAACCACAGTATCTTTGGAAGCATGTACAACCACTGAATAACAAAGTTAAACTATTTAGGGGAATAGGTACTGTGTGCATTTCAATGGTGCATGTGAAAGTTACTGTGATTAAATCGTACAATGTGAACATGTCTATGTTTAACATGTTCATTTTGTGTTCACAGACAAAAAAGTTTGGTTCCTGTTTGGCAGACATTTCAAAAAGTGAAATCAGACAGAATTGTTCTCATCCCTACTGAAGGCAATTAAAAAAAACACAAATCCCCCAACTCAACAGGTCTCATTCATCAGGAAGGTCAATCCAGTTGACCAATCACGTGGGGCCTTTCATACCAATCAACCAATACCATTTCCTGTATGACTTTGGTTGTACAGAGGCGCCTGTTGCTAGGCAAATTTGCAATGAACTCGCCTGAATGCATCGCTTTTTGTGAGGGGTTATTTAATTGGCCCGAGGGGGGCTCCGTTAGTGAAAAGAGGGAGGTAAGTACGTCATTGTGTGGCCAATCACAAGCATTGTTAGCGTGCACTTCACAGGTCAGCTAAAAGGATATGTAATAAAAAACCAGCATGTGTTCAGTTAGAAGGACTCCCTTTAAAAAAAAACCTGTTCAGCATGTAGAAAAACTGAATTGCTTTAACAATATCTGAAAGGATTGTGTGGCATTGAGACTCTATCTGTGCTAAATCCAAGCATGCTTTCAATGAGAAATCCAACAGCAAGGTATACTTATATAACTTCAACCAATTGTAAGGCATACAGCGGTGGATAGGTGGATGACTGCGACTCTCGGTGAGGACTGCTACTCAAGGACTGGTAAAACCTTGAGTTTTCGTCCAATCACAGGTTTGCTCTCGCTAGATCTTGGGTCAAACGATGTCACACTAATAATAATATACGAGTACATCATGCAAGGCCAACGCACATAATCAATGTAGAAAACTTAGGTTTTCTTTCAAGGCTCTTTACTTATTTACTGTGAGGAAAACACAACTGAAATGAACCTTGGATCCAATGCAATACAACCAAGGGTCAGGTCAGAATACCACACTAATTTATGCAAGGTCAGGTCAAAGCATGTTGGGACAGCAACAACTGACCAATGAGAAGACAGTTCTGCACACACAAAAAGGGGGAAATGAAGTAAGTTTCAGGCTTTGTAATTGTCAAAGCTTTCAGAGCATTTGGTCCAAATTAAGCCACATGTTGTAATTCATAAAACACATCCAGGACATGGAACATTCAAAACGCAATTAACATGCTCATTACTGCATCCAATAATTAGTCCCAGAACCATCACTACTATTTTTTGATCGGTTATAATTTCTTCTGATGAGTAAGATAAGGGTCCCAAAAATGATGAATCTCAAATGTCACGTTTTCATGAAATTCACTTGATTAGCATTTTTGGGTTTTTAAATTTCCTTTCACTGCAGATGTAACAGGCACTGAAATAATTACTGAAGCCTTATTAACGTGAATGTGTGAAATTGAAAACAGCAGATAATCTTTTCACACAGCGGACTTTTTTTTCTTCTTATTTTAAATAAGAAAATAAAAAATGTATTATATTTTAACGATTAATTTCTTGATAATTATTTTAAATTTGGAAGGGGGCAGAGTGAATTACTTACTGGCATTGGGATACACTTCCAGGGTTGGCGACACAGGCACCACCGTTAAGACACGTGTCGGGCCCACACGAAGCTGCAAGAAAAAAAGGAAAGCAATAAAAGAGATAAATTGGCCGAGGAATTTGGTCAACAAAAATTGTAACCTTTATGGTTTATTTGACAAATTTAATGATCCCCATTTGCTGTTTCACATTTTGCAGCATTGCTAATGTTGCTAGCATCTTGACTCTGGGTGTGATCCCTGGCTACATGGCATATATAGCAGATTGGAGAACCACCAACATAGGGCTGGATAGCTCAGTTGGTGGAGCACCGGAACGGCAATCTGGAGGACGCAGGTTCAAACTCCGCTCCAGTCAATTTCTTTGTTCAACATTTCTTTGTTCATTGTTAAAAAAAAAAAAACAGTTGGAAATTGTAAGCTTTCTGGTTTGGCGAGTAACCATTTTTGACGAACCCAGTCACTCCTAGATCCTACAAACTCCATCAGAAGCTTATGGTCTATCATATTTATCTTACCAGTTATGTTTGTGATGCTTCAGTCCCCTCAATTTAAAGATTTTTAGAATGTGTCACTGGTTTATTGTACATTTGGAGGAATCGGAAGGATTTAGGCAGGTTCCAGCAAAAATCCCCAGAACCTTTTGGTAAAGGCAAATTTGACCAAACCCGGACTAGTTCCTGGGACCTCTCATTGTCCTGATCAACCTAAATTCACCGACAAAGCAACAGGCACTGATAATGACATTGAAAAAGAAGCTTGAGTTGTCTACTGCTGCAACCATTGGACAGCTTAATACAACATTAATCGGTAACAGCAAGCCGGATGATACCAATGTTTAGTACAGGTACATCGATTAATCGATTTATAATCACACTCAGCTGTGTACACAATACAATAATCAGTATGCATTCAATTTTTTTTCTTTCTGGAACCTGTTCTGTGTAAACAATCCAGAACATCTCTTGAACATCTCACTGGAAACAAAAATTCTGCAGCGTTTTTTTTTTGGGGGGGGGGCATGCATGACCCTCCCCCACTATCAGCCAGGGTTTATCAAAGTGTCTACACCGATAGGCGCGCGAGTCCCGGGTCCGTAATCTACCAATCGGAAGACCCATTCCTCCCGCCAACAATGAGGGTAAATAAATACACTTTGTCAATCTGGCCCGCGCACGGCACACATCCCTGCAGTAAACACCCTGCCACGGCCGATAACGCTCACTTCCTAAAGTCTAAAGTTTAACCCATTCCTTTATTCAAGTGCTCGAAATTACCGGAGATCCATGCAGACGCGCACAAAAATTACTTCTGCTAAAGTGTGTTCAAAGATGAAGGGATTTGGTGTGGCAAATGTTGTTTATTCTATTCCCATCTGTATATTGTACCTCTTGTACCACATAATCAACTCTGGCAATCTTTGACAAAGAGAACACTACTCTACAATACATATTTTTGTAAATATCCACAGATATACAATGCTCTACAGTAAAAGCTTGTGCTTTACTACGAACTGCATAATGCAGTCTCAACTCCAATCCAGTGTTTCCATGTCCACACCATGACACCCTTTAGAAAAATCTACAATTTTGTGACGATACATGTCTCTAAGTCTAACACACTCATTTCAGTGCAGAGTGTACCTGTACATGTAGATCCATTGCTACTGTGAACTTCCTAACTAGTTCTAGAGAATGACAACTGTGTAAACAAAGTAAGGATGTGTTCTTACAACTGTATAAATAGCACATAAAATCTGGGGTTGGACTGCAGTATTTTTGGCAGCATTTTTGAGGCAGGCTTTTGACCAAAAAAAAAACAGTGTGAGGTGTCTCCCAGACCACCCAAACAATGACAGCCTCCCTCCAACCCCCAGATTGGGCAATTTCCTTTTGGCCCTCGCGTGCTCCCTAATCAGATAACTTAGTAGAATCAAGGACCAAAGGACAAACAACACCAGCGGTGAACTTCGAACGCAAACACTTTTGCATAAATTTGGTTAAGCGAGTTGGTAGGCGTGAGGTCGACACGTGTTTTTCACCGTTGTCACATGTCCAACACATCTGCAAGTATTCATCGTTTGGTCCGCTTAAACAAATTACGGGCTGGTCAACTTTTTGTGAAGGAAAATAATGAACATGTACAAGTTCTCTCTCAAAAACAAAAATTGGACAATCTGTGAAATTGTAAAAACTCAGAAATTAATGTATGGAATGCGATTGAGAGCTTCTGTGTGTTTTTTTTTATTATTATTATCTTTCTATTGTTATTGGTCACATTTTGATAAATGTGGAAGCCAAAGATTCGGAACAAAAATCGTTCCACGGAACAAACAAAAAAGATTTTTTCCCATTAACAGTTGAAGTTGAATCACTCCTCTCATATAACCACAGTGCCAAATCAGCCAGTAATGAATTTATTATCTCAGCTTTGTGACCAAAGCAAAGTTTTTTTTCACACAACACCAGTGGGCAGGCAGGTTTTTTTTAAAAATAAACTTCTCCTGTTTCGCTTAGCCATAACAAAGCGCATTCTTGGGCCAAGTCTCCCGTCATCGCTTTTCAATGGGGAAACTTTGGCACAAGCAATGACCTGTCGTCATTGGATGCAAGCATGGGCTGCAACTGTAATACCGCACATTCTCTCGTTTCACTTTAATTATATGAAGGAATGTAAAGAGCTTGGCATCCCGTCAAGGCATTCTGCATCCGCATGCAAGCTTAAAGAGGACATCTCTGATGGGAGGTTTTATCAGATGGGAGAGGTTCCGTTTTTTTAGCCCGAGGGGCGTTACAATTACTCATGCGTTATCAACTGGCAGATTTAACAGTTGGATGTTTCTACAGAAACTTTCGCAAACAGATATTAAAATTAGGCCTACATTTTTGTTGAAATATTAATAAGAAATTCAAATGCTCATTTGGGTAATGAAGTTAAGAGCAAGTCACATGATACCAAAAATCTACGACTGTTGATTTCAAAAGAACTTTAATGTTGCCCTTTGTCCCAAGTTATCATAGTGGGGGGGGGGGGTGTAAAGACGAATATCAAGATACTTTTAAAGTTTTATTTCAATATTATAACCGTAGAGCAAAGGAAAACTTTACTCGCGGAGGCCACATCACAAAAGACACTATGTGGGGAGGGGGGGGGGGTTGTGAACCTGATTGTTTAAACCAAGGATAAATTCTTACCTTCCTCAAATTGTAATTGGTTTTTTTTTGTTATTTCGTGCATTGTAAATACAAGTTATTGTTACAATAAATTATTACTAAGAATTGTTCTGCCAGAGGTACTTCAATGCTTTCAACGTCAATCATGCATTCCATTCCATCATTGTGAGATATATCTCTCCAACCCGTCCGTCACACCAAAAATAAGTTCTTTTGTACACATGTACACGTGTACATGTACCTGTGCGGTTAGGCGATCAAGGGCAGAGCAACATCATTGTCATCAAATTTGCTTAGAAAAACACTGGCAGACTGGTTAAAAAGTTTCATCAACAATGGGCACAGGATGGCAATGTTTTTTTTTTGTGGAAGGACAAGACAAACAAAAGTAACAAGAAACAATTTCAAAGGTTTCACTACTGCGTCATAATAAAAAAAAAGGCACTCTACATGATAAAAAAGAGCACTCTACAACACCAATGTTACATTTACAACATGCAAATTGATTCATGTACAATACTTGTCCTTGCTGATGAAAAAAAATCTTAAAACATGTTTCTGACTATTTATTTCATTACAACCTTTGTGTGCGCATTAGCTCAACTTTGTAAAGATTTGTTTCTGTCAACTTTCAAATCCAACCAAAACTTAATACAGAAAATAAACAGAAGTCAAACAGAAATATGACCCTTAACTTGACACTTAATTTTATTTCAACAATGTTCAAACAAACAAAAAATGATTGAAAGGTAAATCAATCTACACACAAATGTAAACTAAATCCTGAATTACAAGCAGATTGTCATAGAAGTTGTTGTTTTTTTCCCTTTCGTTTAAATACACTTTCCCGGACAAACTTTCATTTGGAATTGATGTCATCCTTGAAGACATCTAGTTGCTCACTTGATGTAATTGATCAGGAAGTAATTGAAAGGGGAAAAAGCACCCCAGTCATGGCGTCTTCCTAACTAAGGGGGCCGTGAAAAATGCACTAATTAACACATCCCACTGTGATAACCCTGCTCCTATGATTTCCTGGAATGCCAATACGCTGTGGAATCCAACTGGAATATCCCGAGGCTGGGATGCAGTGTTTGAGCATGGACTAAGGTCTTTTGTTAAGCTTACATGTACATGTAGGCTTAAGCTGTACATGTACATGTACCTGCCGTGTGTCCTTTGCAGTGCCTATGGACTTGGTGCATAACTTTGCCCTTATTTAAAGGGAAAATACAACATTTGCAAACATCGAAAAATAAAACTACCAAGTTGTTACGAAATACCTTACTAGGATGTTGGTAAATGACATGCTTAAGCATCCTGTAAAATTATGGCACCTGGTGAGAAGCCATTTTCAAGAAAATGGTATATTTGTATACATTTCCAACGCTGGTCGGCCGACCACCGTTGGAAAAACCTAACTAAATTTCAATTACTGCTCCAAATTTACCAATTTGTTTTAGTCTAAATTTTGTTCTGCTAGCTATTGGTTCCATGTTCATGAACGGGTGCAGGCCAGCTAGACTGGTTCCCTTACCTTACAATTTTCCGGTATTTTTGATCCATTTCATCTTTGGTGGAGTCTGGGAACCAGACTACTTGAATATTTTTGTTTTTCTTGGTTTTTCCAGCATTTTCGAACACAAAACTTCAAACATGTCAGTGTAACAATATTTGATCTATTATACTAACCCCCCAAATAGTTCATTTCTAAAAATTACAGCAAAAGCCAATGATGTACATTCCCTTTAACCCCCTAGATTGAATACTACATGTAGGAACTTTCCTCACTCCTGCAAATTCCAACACCATATAGTAAACTGTACACTTGGACTCTGATTTTGATGGTATCAGCCCTAACCCTATATAATCAGTATACTGGTGCAGTACCCACTCCAACAGATTCCAACAAACCCTGGTGTTGGAGTTTGACTGGATGGGGATTGTTAGGGTTAAACACGCAAATGGCAATGTCGTTAGTCGGCGTTAGTCGTACAGCAGTAATGGCATTCAAGACTCTGCCTTTAGTCTATCTTTACCATCACTAGGGGGTACCGGTGACAGTTCATCGGGTGCACCACGAAGAGGTGAATATGATAGTTTAGCTGCACCATGAAGTGAGGGATTTTCAATGGACTTTGTTGCACCATGGAGGAATAAAAATACTCTTCGTGGGATGGCAACTGCGCCTCGTGGTACGACTGACGACTTAATGATGGGCTTTTTAGCACCATGCTTGTGTGCGTTCCTCTCACCCAAGCTACCTCAATGCCACAAGTCTGTGCCCGTTTAGCAGAGAATAATTTGTCAAACGAACTCTGTATGTGCACATGTGAACAGGAATTACCTGTCTGAAAACCTTCATCATCTATGAAAACACGAACACAATTCTTTTTCATTTCCAAGTTTTGTTGATTTGTGTAAAAAATAACCAATCCAAACATGCGACATAAAAAAAGAAAAGAGCTTGAGCTACCTGCTCTGCCTCAAGAAAGTGCAAGTTTGCTTGGTCAGTCGGGTCATTTTTTCCATATATGCCTTAATTTGTCAGCCAATAACTCTGATAGTTGGTATGTTGGTAAAGTTATTTTAACAAGCTTACTGAAAGCAAAAGTCCACTGAATAATTGGAAAGGTGCATCGACCCAGGTACTTCAAAGTACTTGACATACTGCAGATTTGAACGTCCCTGCATACAGTGCACTGACACTGCAATAATAATTACAAATGGGGGAAGAGGATTGCAGAAACGAAACAGATATCGAAATACTGCCAAGCTGTCTGCTGTAAGTGTAACCCTACCGATAAATGCAATTAATACTGTTTCCTATGAAGGAAACAATGTTGCAACCTGAAGCCACATTTTTCTTCATCATCTCAATGAAGGTCAGTCATTGCAAAAATGATGATAAGACATGCATCTGGGACTGAGAAACATTCCTGATTTGTTAGGAAATACTTTCAAAAATGTCTTGACTCTCCATAGACTTTGTACACAACTGCTGAAGTGGGGTCAGGTTGCAACATTTTTTCCCCCAATGGATCCAAGGTGACAACCCTGCTACTTTGAATTGATACATTGTAATATTGCAATCCTCATTTTTTTATACAAAGTAATACACAGTGTTACATTCTTCCAGCTACTGTGCAACACAGTTGAAAAATTGTTGTGTTGCCCTCACATGAAAAACATCAGGAGGGTCTGTCAATCAGGGATTTTTTTTTGGGGGGGGAGAGGTATACATACACATGTACTTCAAATATAGCCCTACCCTTTCTTCTGTTTCATTCGGTTATTCTACCAACTTAGTTTTTTTTCCAAAAATTTCCGCATTTTTTTGTATTTATGCAACTTGCAAGACAGTCATGACAGTTGGAAACTGTTCTTGGAAAATATTCTTTACTTTGCATTTACAATGAATAACCCAACTAACAATTCAACTTTCAAGCATTGTGGGGTTTTTTCCCAACATTATTTTCATTAACTTCGTTGTTAACACCATGCATGCAACATCCATGTCTTTGTATTTCGCCACTTTACTACAAATACAAACCCATTGGCATTACATTTTTAAACCCCCAACTACATGCACTTGCGGTACCGGTACGCAACAGACTACAGCAGAGTTCACATGTTCAACAGGTTTCAAACTTGTTGATGTATCATAACTCAGTCTGCGTGTACAGTACAACTTTGCATTTCCTCAACAACAAAAATCCCATTTAATTAATACCCTTGGAGCAACTATAGAATGCAGGGCCACGCCGAAGCAAGGTTTTTTATTTTGCCTGGAGGCGTGGATGGAATAGGAGTAATAGATATGCAAACCTGCAAAAAAGTGCTAAGTACAGCATGGTACAGCGAAGGAATGCACTGCACTTGTCTTCAAAGCTTCTCATGAAGGATCGGAAGGGAGGGCGTGCTTGTAAATGTGTTGGGGGCACTGTCTGGAGCGGCGGAGGCGCGGAGTCTTGGAGTCGCAGAATCGCGGAGACGCGGGGCACTGGAGTGGCGGAGGCGCGGAGTCGCGGAGTCGCAGAGACGCGTACCGATAGAGGGCGCAATTCTCGGCGGAATCTTTTTGAGAACGAAGCATCCATATCCATTTTAAATGGGCGGACCAATTAGGAAGGGAGGAGGGCGACAGGGCACTGTCTGGAGTCGCGGAGGCGCGGAGTCGGGGAGTCGCAGAGTCACTTTAATTGGGCGGGCCAATTAGGAAGGGGGGGGGGGAGGGCGACGGGGCACTGTCTGGAGTCGCGGAGGCGCGGAGTCGGGGAGTCGCAGAGTCACTTTAATTGGGCGGGCCAATTAGGAAGGGGGGGAGGGCGACGGGGCACTGTCTGGAGTCGCGGAGGCGCGGAGTCGGGGAGTCGCAGAGTCACTTTAATTGGGCGGGCCAATTAGGAAGGGGGGGGGAGGGCGACGGGGCACTGTCTGGAGTCGCGGAGGCGCGGAGTCGGGGAGTCGCAGAGTCACTTTAATTGGGCGCGCAAATTAGGAAGGGGGGGGGGAGGGCGACGGGGCACTGTCTCTCAGTGGTGGAGGCGCGGAGTCGCGGAGTCGCAGAGACGCGCACCGATAGAGGGCGCAATTCTCTGCGGCTCCACGACTCCACGATCGATTTTCAGAGGTAGGTCGACTGCGGTTCCACGCCTCCACGCAGCCGTACGGAGGCGCGGATGTAGAGTAAAGTGGCCCTGCATTCTATAGTTGTACCATACCCTTCAACATGTGTACTTCAAACTATACAGTTTGGGTCAACTTCGGCCAAAGACACTCGGCTGATAATGCAAGTATTCCCCGGGTAGGCAGCACGTTACTTTACCTCGAACAACGGTCGTACACTGCAGCACGGTGTACACCACCACCAGTATCAAATCCAAACGGGGCATCTTAAAATCCGGTCCGAGTTTTCGTCCCATCTTGACCCTCCTCTTCTCACGACAATCTGCCTCTTTGGTCAACCATGAGTGCGGCGGTGTCCGCAAGTAAATTCCAGGCGATTCTCGGGCCGTGGTGTGAATGAATTCCCGACGAAAATGTGTGGAGTTTTGAGTTGAGTTTCCGGTTTATTGCGATAAGCACTCGTTAAAAAGTACCGAACTGAGCTCTTGGTGTTTTGTGTGTACGTCGTGTGTGTACAAAAAAGTTAAGTCGTGTGGCTGACACAAAGCGCACGACCATTGCAATATCCATCCGCGGCAGTGAGGACCGCTGAACTATGGTAAACTATTATCATGCAAATTCAATTTCGTCAGGCACGCTTTTGCCATGGCAAGTTGAGCCGTCTTCTTTTATATACTTAATAAACCGTCCATTAAGGCCTCAAGGATTTTGGCTTTTAATCCCCGATGGTTTAGGATAAAAACTGGAATAAACTCCGCCCGGCAGAGTCCGGGGATTTAAATAGGGTACACCAGTGCCATTCGGCACTTGTTGAAGATCAGTATACCTACACGGCTGCAAGAAAGTACCGGCCCCTTATGGTGAATATTGAGAAACTGTGGTTTTCATGCACGATCACGTCTTCTTGGAACTTTATTTTCCGTAATTCTTCCCGGATGAGGGGAAACGGGGACTGGGGAATGTACAAATGTAGCTATTATGGGGCCCATAATTATAACATACTGTGACGGAAAGTGAAGTTTTATGCCCTTGTTCATGTTATTGTATTCTAATCTTATGAATGAACTGTAGTATAGTACGCCCGTGACTGGGTGTGGCTTAGCAGTCAGGGTGTGCGTGTATGCACGCACGCGATTGGTTAACAAAGCCCCATATGTTTAGTGCATCATAATGGTTTAGTGCATGTGCTATGTATGCGCGTAAGTAGATTGCTACGTACGTACGCGCGGGAGTTTTCTGGCAAGTGGCAGCGAGCTGTACAAACGTGAGTTGAGTGTGCTCTCGCTGTGGCGTGTAATGCTATATGGTGATTTGCGCTATATGCTAGCTAGGCGCGGGCGAACTGTTGGACAGTTTAGCCGTACACTTGTGGGTGCATTGTGGTTGATTGGGGCTGGGCCCATGGTTTCGTAGTGCTACGTGCGCACAAACCATATCTCCACAGTGGCACTGAGCTGGGCAATGCGATATTGTTTAGGCAGTGCAGCATTAGTCTGTGCATTGCTATAGCGTTCATGTATTGCAGCATTGGTCTGTGCATTGCTATAGCGTTCATGTATTGCAGCATTGGTTGTGCATTGCTATAGCGTTCCTGTAATGCAGCATTAGTTTGTGCAGTGATTATTGGAGTGAGCAGTGCGATATTAGTTGTGTATTGCAAATAGGGCTCATATTCGAAAACCACAGGTTGTAATAAAGCTACCCAAGACAATTACCCCCAAATCATTGAATCATTTAATTGTTGTCTCTGGAATAAATCATCGTGTTACTTGAGATTACCGACCATTCAGTTGCCAGTTGTCCTTGTTATTGTGTTTTTGCCTAATTAACAGAAGGTTTAGGGATCAATTCCTGCGGCGGTAGATTTCCACCCAAAACGAGCCTGCATCCTTAGCCTTTAGACTGCTTTGTGTAGTCCCTGGTCCGAGGAATAACTTGGTTCGGGAACAGTCCCGCCACAAATGGTGTCAGAAGTGGGATTGGAATTGATTAAGGTGACTTCTCTGTTGACTAATAGAATTGCACAATTGGTCTTCACGTGTTGTTGATTTCGGTGGTGATTTTTGGGTAGAGATGAGCGATCCAGGCTCGAAAGGTCGAATTGGCACCTCGAGTGCTGAGGTCGAGGTGCAACGACTGCGGATGGAAAACCAAATACTGCAGTGGGAAAAGGACCTCACTGAAAAGAAGTTGGCGCTAGCTGCCATGGACTTGCAGTCGGGTGATTCCCCAAATGGAGGAAACGGGGGTACGCAAGCCGAGAGTGGGCGTGTGCGCCGTCGTGTTGATTCCGATGTTGAGTTTAGGTTGCCCGAAGAAACATCTGGGTATGTCTCTGGAGCGACGGGGAGAGAGTCAGGTGCAGGTGTGGTGCCTGAGTTGGCCCCTAAAGAGGGGAGGGGGGTGAGCTTTATTGAAAGTACACCTCGGAAAGGACAAAGCTCAGGGGTGTTCCCCCGAGCGCAGTCGACACCTATTTCTAGGGAGACGGAGGGTCCTAATGGGGATCTGTTGTCGTTCACGCCTGAGGTTGGTGTGAGACGGGGTAGGGCGAGTACCAACCCGTTCGTTGAAGATAAGGAATTGTGTACCCCTAAACAGGTACATAGTGAACTGTTGAGTTTCGCGACTCGACCAGTAGAGGCAAAGAACAACAGTTCAGCTCAAGTTGACATCTCGTCAGTGGGTCCGTGGCCACTGAAAAGAGAGGCACGGGTCCATGGTGGTGTGGGTCAGATGGGTAGTTTGGAGCGACCAAATCGCAGGCCAAACATAACCCCTGATCGGTACAGTGGGAAGGTACTCTGGAAGGAGTACTTCCGCCATTTTGAGTCATGTCGTGAGGTGAATATGTGGAGCGAGGAGCAGGCTGCGAGGTGGTTAGCCGCAAGCTTGCAGGGAGACGCTCTACGGTTGTTGGGTGACTCAGGCCACAAGTACAAGTACAGTGCACTTGTTAAGCTGCTGGAGCGCAGGTTTGGGTCAGCTCGACAGAGTGAAAATTATCTTGTCGAATTGAGACATCGACGCCAAAAGCCAAAGGAAGGGTTGCAGGAATTAGGGCAAGCGATTCACGAGTTAACAGCAAGAGCATACCCTGAGTTGCAGGAGGATGCTCGGGAGAGGTTGGCTAAGAACCACTTCATAGACGCCGTTGATTGTCATTCAGTCAGGGAGGGCATTCATCGGGCTCGTCCAAAAACTTTGGATGAAGCGGTCCAGGCTGCCCTAGAGACAGAGAACTTTGATAAGGTCGAACAGCAAAGGTTGTTTGACCGGAAGCCCGCCAAGCTGGCGAGAGCTGTTGACTCCGGAACAGAGCAGAGGTTTGAGACTTTAGAGAAAAGTATCGGTGAACAGGCCCAGGCATTGAAGTCTGTGGCTGAATTGGTAAAGTCGTTGTCGACTCAGATTAAGGGTCAGGGTCAGGGTCAGGGCATGTCCCCCAAAACGAACAAGCCCAGTACCCTGAAGTGCTTCAGGTGTGGTGAGATAGGGCATTTCGCCCGGGAGTGTCAGAGACATCCACAACAGGGAAACGGCAGTCAGCCCCCCGTAGGACCCGCGGGAAGGCTGAGTGGACAAAAGGGTCCAAAAGACAACAGAGTGACAGCGAGGGTGGTAGTAGAGAAAAGAGGTCAAAGCATGGGGATGGGCAACGAGTAATAACTCTGCCCAACCCAAGTCGCGGCCCTCGTTATGGTTTATTTGTTGATGGAATGGTGAGAGGGACCAAGTGTCGGTTTTTGATTGACACGGGGTCCACCGACACCTTGATAAGTAGTACGGTGTACTATCAAATTCCAAAGGAGAAGAGACCTGTCTTAGAGACGGAGGAGGTCCAGGTGAAGCAAGTAGACGGTAGTCGATTGCCCGTGCTTGGCATAGCTTGGGTGGAGGTGCAAGTTGGTCGAACCACGCACCAAGTAAGGGCGGTGTTTACCGAAATGAAGTATAGTGGCATCCTGGGCATGGATTTTCTCGTGCCAACAGGTGGAAACATAGACTTCCAGTCAAGAGAGTGGAGGCTCAATGGTGAGCGAATCAGGTGCACAAACGGTGCCGGTGAGCCCTTTGTGGGACGTGTAGTGGTTTCAAAAACTACAGTGATTCCGTCCGGTCATGAGGCCATGGTCCCAGGTATAATTGCCCGGAAGGGTGCCGACTTGGTCGGGCCAGCCATGGTGGAACCAATGGAAGGTGGCGGTGACCTAGCTAAGAAGGGTTTGGTTTTGGCCAGATCTCTGGTTGAGACTGAAGCAGAGGTTATTCCGTTGCGGGTCTTCAATCCCGGAAGGGAGAAAAGAGTTGCACGTGAGGGGACCACAGCGGGAACGATCTCCCAGGTAGAGGTTGGTTCAATTCATGATGACTTGGATGTGGTGGCAAATGCTGGTGAGGAGTTACCCCAGCACTTGCAAGATTTGTTTGAGAGGGGTACAGCCAAGGTAGAGGCTATGTACTATGAGGATGTCCGGAAATGTTTAGTTGACTTTCAGGATGTATTGTCTAAGGGTGACCACGACATTGGTCGCACGGACGTGGTCCAGCATCACATAAGCACTGGTGATGCTAAACCGGTGAGAGAACGGATGAGGCGTCATCCGTATTGCCATCAGGAGGAAATCCAGAGACAAGTCGGTGATTTGGAAAAGAGGGGGGTGATTGAACCCTCCGACAGTCCATGGGCGGCAAATGTTGTTTTGGTTGACAAAAAGGATGGTACGAAACGCTTCTGTATTGATTATAGAAAGTTGAATTCGGTGACCATCAAGGATGCCTATCCTGTGCCGCGCATTGATGAAACATTCGATGCGTTGAGTGGGGCGAAGTGGTTTTGTACACTTGACTTGGCGTCGGGGTACTGGCAAGTCGCTCTGGATGAGGACGCCAGCCAAAAGTCGACATTTGTAGTGAGAAGCGGGTTGTACCGGTGGAAATGCATGCCTTTTGGGCTGTGCAATGCCCCGGCAACATTTGAGCGGCTCATGGAAAAGGTCATGGCCGGCTTGCAATGGGAAATCCTACTGATTTATTTGGATGACGTCATCGTGTTTGGTCAATCGGTGACGGAGACCCTAGAACGTCTCCGAGTTGTGTTGGGGAGGCTTAGAGACGCTGGGCTCAAACTCAAGCCCAGCAAGTGTCATTTGTTTCAGAGGTCAGTGACTTACCTCGGGCACATTGTGTCCTCAGAAGGGGTAGCCACGGATCCTCAGAAGATTGAGGCAGTCGCAAATTGGCCGGTCCCGAGGTGTGTACGAGATGTTAGAAGCTTTTTGGGCCTCGCATCGTACTACCGGAAGTTCATAAAGGGGTTTGCAGAAGTGGCAAGTCCACTTCATGCCTTGACCGAGAAATCAAGAGAGTTTGTGTGGACTGAGAGTTGTCAGGAGGCATTTGACGAGCTGAAGGGCAGGCTTCAGGCCGCCCCAGTTTTGTCATACCCAATGCCCGAGGGCGACTTTATCTTGGACACTGATGCCAGCGGTGAAGGTATCGGGGCGGTGTTGTCGCAGGTCCAGGGTG